CCGCCTGCTGCTGCTTCTGTCTGCGGGGAGCTCACACCGGCCCTTCCCCAGGCAGCTGGGGTCGGTTCCCAGCTGCTGCCCCGCTCCACCTGTGCGACATCCCCATGCCACGCTGCCTGCTGCCGCTCCTTGCAGCAGCACAGCCTGCACCATGCTGCTGACCTCACCTTCCCTCCTGGCTCCGCGGCCCCGGGGCCTGGCATGTGCTGCTGGATGTGCTGCTCCACACACCTCTGCCAGGACAGGCACCCTGGGTGTCCCAGCTCTGCTGCACAGCCGTCGCCCTCCTACCCCAGAAACGCCTTCTCCAGCCTCTGCCCTGCAAACCCTCTCCTGGCCTTGGGCTGCGTGGCCCAGCGTAACCATCTTCCCTTGCTGCAGCTTCCCCGCACAGCTGCACCCTCCAATTTCTTTTTCTTCTTCCCTGTGCATCCCTGTTTTCCTCCTAGCCCATGTCTTTTGTGACCTCCAAAGGCAGGCCCAGTGCTTCCCTGGGTATCCTACCAGTGCATCCCTCTCCCCCCCACCTCTTCCCTTTGGTGCTCGCTGCCCTTGGCTTCACGCTGTCCCGCTCCCGCCAGGTAAACAATCCTGTTTGTCACCGGTCAGGTCCCTGTCACTCCCCTGATGCAGAGGACGGTGCCCCGAGGCTCACAGGTCCCGGGGGGACTGCGGGTTCCCTTTGCACGGCCCTTGCTGGAGACCCAACTCTTCCCTTCCCTTCGCTGCTGTTTGGCCGTAGATCCGAGCCGTGTGGGTTGGGCTCCTCTGGGTGCAGGGACCCAGTGTTCACACTGTGCGGTGTTCATGGAGAAGCTCAGAGACGGGGCTTGTGCTTTTCCGAGGATTTTTCCGAAGGAATTTTGTTGGGTTCTGATTCAGACAGAGTCTTAAAGGAGAGCTGGTGCCCACCTGATCTACACAGATGTAAATAAGCTGTAACCCTGTGGCGGGCAGTGGAATTAGACTGGATTTAACTGGTGCAGATGGGAAAGGAGTCCAAGCAGAATGCCTCTCACCTTGCCGTACACATCTGTGCTAGGCGTTGCATTACGTAGGAGCTCCGTGTTTGCTATTATTTTTTCAGTGGGGTGACCATAGGAGTCCCCCTTCCCCTCTGGAAAATGTTGCCCCAAACTCATCACCTGGTTGTGTCCACGGCACTTCTGCTGCCAGCATCCGTGGCTCCCAGAGGAAGGCATCAGCTCCTGTTCTGGTTGAGTGGTTCCTTCTACTGTGACGTACCATAAAACTGTAAAGCACCGCGCTGAAGCTGGAAAAGGACAGCTTATAAAGTTAGTTTCAAAGAAAAATCCCATTGAGAAGTGCCAGCGTGCTCCCCGATCTGGTATAATCTTTCTTGCAAGGAAAATTGGGGCTCTTCAGGGCTTTTAGCCTGTGTGAATAATTATTAGAAAACTTTTTTTTTAATGGAAAATGATGACCATACGTCCTTGCTAATTGTGAGTACGCTGCTGCAGCCTTTTTTTAATGGAAAATGATGACCATACGTCCTTGCTGATTGCGAGTACGCTGCTGCAGCATCTCAACTCATGAGCCTGAAGGAATTTATGAGATGGATGCTGCGGCTTGCTGCCGCGTTGACGTAGTGTGCCATAAATTCTGAGGAGGAGAGATTCTGAGTTCATACGCACTTGCAAACTTCCGTGCTCTTGTTAGCTCCACTGCTGTCTCCCTTCCACACCACCTCCCGCTCCGTGCCAGGTCCTTCAGTCACTCTGAAGGGAGGGATGCAGCCGGCGGAGGTCTGGCCCCCGACGCTGGTGTCGGTGCCATGGTGGGATTCACAGCGAGCAGCTGCGGGTCCATGGCATCAAGTACCACAAAACCTGCTCTGACCAAAACCAGGCAGAAGTTTGCCTGGTTTTGCCTGGTTTTGGTTTTGCTGCAGCTTTTTGATAGAAAATATAGGGACAATCAACTTTGTGCAGAAGCTG